CCGACCGACAATTTGTTACTTGTTACATACAAGTTATGGTCTATTTTACCCGATAAATAGATCTAAAATTGCAACCTGTAGAGCAACTGCAAAATCAGGAAATTTTTCTATTTTTGGTCCATTTCAACCCCTAAATATTATGCGATTATTTTCAAGAACAATAGGCTTCTATTCTGACCCTAGACACACCTTCATGCTAAATTTCGTGACCTACAGAGTAATTACAAATTAACACGGATAGACGGGCGGACGGACATACATAGCTAGATCGACTCAGCCTGGCGAGGTAAGAAGATCCATATATAGTTTCCTATGTCGGGGACAAATATTTCGAGGTGTTACATAATTTCCGACCCAATCAAACTTATAATACCTCCAACACAAAGTGCTGTAGGGTATAAATAGTAGCTAAAAATCACTCGTTACTAATGTTTGTTCTGATATAAATCGAATGCTGAGGGATATACTTGTTGCAACGCCAACTCATGTTTTATAACGTGTTCTTTAACTACTTTATCCATTCTTATTTGTTTCTAATTTTTTTTTTTTTTTCTAACAAAACATTACATGAATATAAAATCCTAGTCTCACTTTGATTATTTCTAGAAATAACTTCCCCACTGCAAAGGTTAAAATTTAAAATTCTATTAAAATTTTCGTGACATGAATTCAGGCTTTATTGTCGTCGTAGTAGTACCGAGTAAATATCACAGAATCAATGCATGAACCCAACAAACCCAGAGCAATAAAACGAATAGCGACTAGTGTAGAAAGAGAGCGAGAGAGAGAGGGAGTATGAATCCCTCTATGAAATTGCTTCATACAAAGTCTTTTGTTCATTTGTGGAATACCACCCACCCACACATATAAATGCATACATATACATATTTTCAAAAAGGTGAACTGCACTGAGTCATAAATTAAAAGCTGTGCAAATTTTACGTAATACCGTATAGAGCCTTCCACCTCTCCCTCTCTTGAAGATGATGATGGCAGCGATGATGATAAAGTCTTCGTGGCAAAACATTTGGAGGCAGTAAAATCATATGCATTTATAAATGGTTGGGATCCTCTTGTTCTCCCTCCTGCTCATTTGTACCATCATAGCCAGGAGTATGCGACTTATAAAGGTCTTATAAAAACATAATTTACTATTCACGTACTATATATAGTTTGCAGGCTTGCTTGCTGGCTGGCTGGAGGGCCCAAAATCTTTCGTCCATAAAAACAGACTATGGCGAAATGAACAAGCAACAACTGCACAGGTAACGGAACGTTGCATAATTTTCATCACCCACCACCACAACCATGACTATGTACGTGTACGTGTGTATATACATGTGTTGGTAATAAAATTGCATATTCATATGGACCAACTCTTGCAGTTCTCTGTTCGAATTCACGGAAATTGTGAAAACTTTTGTGTGTTTTCCAAAAGTCACGTAATGCGTAGCCATAACTTTGTTTAAACTTTTACGGGTTTTTAAGGCCAATTAAAAACAGTATTTTACCAAACCATGGCCACGATACTGAATTTTTCAAACCATTCGCTGGCATATAATTATTTTGGAAATTTGTTAGTTGCGAGAATTTATTTGATAGCATCTCCAAATATCCATTAAACGGTCGGGGGAGGGTGGAATGAATTTGTTTACCCCGGAGACTTCAAACACATCACATGTCAATAATCTAATTGATGAATATTGAATATTTATAACATCCAAACATACAGACTAAGAGACAGCCAGCCAACCAGTCAGCCATACAGATATGGTGAGCAAATTGGCAAATAAATGAAAATCATGATTTTCTGTCATGCACTGATATGGTGCGGTTAAATGAATAAGAACGATGCTAATTTAATTTCATATATTTCGTGTTTGTGGTTAAATCAAGTGAAAGGGGTGTGGGTCTTTGTCTGTCATTGGTGTATATTTGGATTAGACAGAATAATGCAAAGAAAGGTTAAAATGAATGGGCAAATTTGTTGGAAAATTTGCAGTCCGGCAGGTGAATATTATTGAATGAAAATCAATCAAAGGCGAATTGTTTCAGAGAGCTATAGACATATCGGGATTTTATCAAGAATGTTATTTTCTCTAGAAAAATATCAATATATAATTGTCTGTAATTCGGCGAATCAGTTTCTCAAAGGCATAAGCCTCCCAATTGATAACTTTTGTTATTGATACACTATTTGGTAAACAGAATTTCGTTGTTTCGAAGGTTTTACTCCCACCAATACCAGAATTGATATTTCTAGTTTTCCCTGAAAAAAGTCGCACACTAAAAAATTTTACAAAATCGGTCTTCATTTTGCAATATGTAATATTTAAAAAACCTGGTTATATGTCCAGAATTTTAAATATAAACGGTAGCTCCTAACCTCAGTTTGATGGTAAATCCAAATTATCTATATTATTCCAAATAACTTTTGAAGGGAGTATGCGATTTGGTGCAAACTTGACACATCGTAATATTACTATAAAACTTAGATCGTGTTGGGAGATGGGCAATATCGGTCCACACCTGCGGGTACACAATCCCCCAAAAAGTCGTATTTTTTTTTTTTTTCAAAAATAAAAAAAGTATTTTACTGCACCGAAAGAGAAAGGATAACCTGATTTTGCTCCAACTTTGCATATCCTAATATTTGGATCAGTGCTAGGTCAGGTGCGAAAATGGACAATATCTGTAAAAACCAGTAAGTACCTCCCCCTCAAAGAGTCAACATTTTAAATAATTATAACTCAAATTACACACATCACAATATTTTTATTAACCAAAGGTCTGGTGTGAAGATGGAATGTATCGGTCCACTCCTTCTGGTACTTCCCACAAAAAAGTGTCAACACAAGATGGGGATATCGGTCCTCTCCTTCTTGTACTTCCCCCACAAAGGGTAAACATTTTGAATCTCCATAAAGCTCATAAAAAGCGAAATTAACATCTGATTCAATTTAGATTTGGCAAACCTTAATAAAAACTTTGCTATAAAGAGAGAGGTAGGGACGGGCCATTTCTTCTGGCATCTCCCCCACATAGGTTTGAAGATATTGAAAGAGGTCAGCTGAAAATGTGCACCTTCGGTTGGCCACTAGAACTCAAGCGCCCGCCATGGCGATGGTGTGGCCGCCATAACAGCCGATGGTCGCTCTCCGCTCGTATTAAATTCTAGCCCCATGGTAAATTCCGCGTCAATAGATCTAAGATTGCGACCTGTAGAGCAACTGCAAATCCGGAAATTTTTCTGTTTTTGGTCCTTTAAAACCCTTAAATACTATGCGATCAACTCCAATAACAATAGGCATCAGGATCAGGCCTGCAGAGACGGACAGACACACATAGCTAGATCGACTCAGCCCGGCGAGGTAAGAAGATCCATAATAGTTTCCTATGACGGGGACAAATATGTGCATCTTCGGTTGGCCACCATAACTCAAGCGCCGGCCATGGTGATGGTGTGGCCGCCATTACAGCCGATGGTCGCTCTCCGCTCGTATTAATCGACCATGGCGTCAGAATAAGTGCCGAATATTATCGCGAAAATAATTTGGAGGGTGTATTAAAGCCTTGGGTACGCAAACATTTTGGCCGCAGACCTTGGACATTCCAACAGGACTTAGGGCCCATCGCACTCACCACGCGCCACCCAAGAATGGTTACAAACTGATGTTCCTCGTTTCTTTTCCAGCGCACAATTACCACCAAAATCTCCGGATACCAATCCGTTGGACTATTGTGTCCAAAGTATTTTGGAAAGCTAGGTTGGCACTAAAAAATACCAAAGTGTCGATTACCTCAAGCAAGCGCATCGCCGGGAATGGACCAAAATACCGCAGAGCATCATTGGGGCAGCGGGGGACGGTTTCATGGACCATTTAAATACCATAATTCGTGTCAAATGTGACCAATTCGAACAAATCTAAACTTATTCTAAAATTTGATGCTATTTCCGACATTTTTTGCTTTCATTCAATAAAATTAAAAAAAATATATATAAATTATGGCATTTGACTTTGTTGCAGATGTTTTATCTCACCCTTAGAAGCCTATTTTTGGGGAGACTATCTCAAAATATTTATGAGTTGAAATGGATAAAAAACAGACAAAAGTCTGATTTTGTAGATGCTCTAGAGTTCACAATTATACACAAAACGACTCGAAAATTTTCACCGGGCTAGAGTTTGGGGCTGGGCAGAAACTTTCGAATGGTCATCACATGGTATTTAGAGATTAAAATGAATTATATATTTTACATAACCAAGTTTTTGGAAATATTTATTAACCGCGAATAATTTTAATTCCAAGATTTTGAAGAATTTGGTTCTAATTCACGATATTTGCCTTAATTAAATTTAACAATTTTATATATAAATATAAATAATTCTTCCGGAAGACCAAAAATATCGTAGAACCTTAAAATAATTTTCTACAGTCCTCTCCTCCTACATCCATTCGCTTTACAAAACTGCTCCCTTGTTTCTTTTTGTTTTTGTAATAATTAAAATGCCAATTAAAAAAATACGCACGTCTGTGGCACTGCGTATTTATGTCCCAGTTTGTCCTCGATTCAGGTCTTGGAAGCCGAGGGAATGCATCAGCGACGTTCGCTCTTTTAACTAAAGCGTTTAAGCGGCTTTTGGGACCACGAAACTCGATATTTTATTGTGACAGATGTTGTGGACACATGAGGCCACCCACATCATGCAATATGTATGAGCGTTATGCTCGCTGGATATTTTAATTCTTTTGTGATATTTTCACAATACACATTCAGTTGCTTTTTTCATGAAAAACATACATATGCATATGACATGGCTGTGAAATGGAACAGGAGGGAGTGTGTTGTTGCAAATTGTAATTAAAAGTTGTAAAAATGTTTTCTCTTCAGTGTAAATTCCCAATGTTTTTCGATATTCGCCAATATTGTCTCTTTTTTAATACCATTTCCATTTCCAAATATTCATATTATTTTCTATTTTTGTTTTTCTTTGCAGGTTTTCCATCGCATAGCAACTAAATGTTTTATTTTTTACAAAAAGTGATAAATATTAGTGTTTTTCCTAACGATACCGCATAACAACCCTTCGTTGGAAAAATGCAGCCTTAGTTAAAAAAGTAAAACAAAGCAACAACAACAAAAACACCATAACAATAAACCAAAAGCAATAACTATTTTCAAAAGTAAAGTGCATTAACAAACCAATACGAAATAATAAAAAAAATATACACCAGAAATATTCGTCTCCCACAAACCAAGTATATTTAGCTCCGTTTTGGCAAAATAAACCCCAACAACCTGCATAAACAATAACAACGTCATATATCAAAGGAAGAAAGGAAGCAGCACAGCAGTAACTGCACCAACAGCAGCAACAACAACACCAAGACAACCTCAACAAACCCCATACTGACAGACACACACTAAGATGGGCAAGAAAAATTCAAAGTTGAAGCAGGACACCATCGATCGCCTGACAACGGATACATATTGTAAGTATTAGAAGTATGAAATTTGTATAAATATTTTATGTATATTAAAAAAGTAAAACAAGGATATGGACGATGTTGCCGACCATGGGTTATGTATATGTTCGACTTCGAAACGAGTTTCCGTTTTTTGATATATAAATCGTTTTCATTCTTAGAATGTAAAGGGTGCTCTCATAAAAGTTTGACGACGCAATCAAATCTAAGTTTTTGTACCTTTTGACTTCAAATCAGAAGTCATATAGAGAGGACAAAGTCGATGGGGCGGCTTTATGATACCCTACATTACAATGCATATTTAAGAGTTGTCCACTACTTCGTATATTGAAAAAGGAATTTATATTAAGTCGATTTTTCCCCAAAAGAAGATGTATAAAAAAGACCACTCTTAATTAATTTCAAGTTATTAATTGAATGACTAATTTCAATACACCTAGGAAAAGTTACTCGTATGATTAATTTATAGATACATACAAAATTGAGCTTTTCTATCTAAAAATTTTAAACTACAGGGTGATATAAAAAAACAGCAACAAAGTCAAACGCCATAATTTTTACATTTTTTTTTTAATTTTATTGAACGAAAATATCGGAAATAACATCAAATTTTAGAATAAGTTTAATTTTTTTTTTTGGATTCGTCACCTTTGGCACGGATTATGGTCTTCAAACGGCCAATGAAGCCACACGTTGCCCGAATGTTGCTCTTCGGTATTTTGGCCCATTCCCGGCGAAGCTCTTGCTCGAGGTGAACGACACTTTGGTATTTTTTAGTGGCAACCTTGCTTTCCTAAATACTCCAGATATAATAGTCCAACGAATTGGTATTCATGGTTTTTGGTGGCCATTTTGCACAGGAAATACAGCGAGGAACCTCATATTGTAACCATTCTTAGGTAGTTCGTGCTGAGTGCGACGGTGTTTAGTCCTGTTGGAATGTCCACGGTCTGCGGGCAAAATGTTGGAGAGTCCAAGGCTTCAATACACCCTCCAGAATATTTTCACGATAATATTCGGCATTTATTCTGATGCCACGGTCGATTAATACGAGCGGAGAGCGATAATCGGCTGTTATGGCGGCCAAACCATCACCATGGCCGGCGCTTGAGTTCTGGTGGCCAACCGGCCAATCGAAGGTTCACATTTTTAGCTGACCACTTTGGCAAGTTAACACGATCATTTCGTTTGTTTGTTTACAAACTGCTGGACAACGAATGTTTTCTCATCGGAGAAAACCAAATTCGACAGTTCACCACTTTCGGCCAAGCGAAGCAACTCTTTAGCTCTTTTGAGTCTATTTTCTTTCTGTTGCGGTGTAAGTTCTTGCATTTTTGGAATTTCAATGGCCGAGCCCATTTTCAGCTCACGAGCCATTTTTCGGCCACTGCGACGCAGGTTTCGATCAAGTCGCTTCTTAATTTTTGAAACCATTGTCATTCGAACCACAGCAACATCAGCAGCTTGACGTCCTTGACATCGGGCCACGCCAAAATGTTTTTGTACGCTTGTAAACAATATACTGGGCTATCACTGGAATAATTTTAACAGCTGTGGGGCGAGTGGCTTGGAAATGACAGCAGTCTGAAGTTGATTGCAGTTTTTTCATCGGACCCTGTATATGGTCTGTCAAATAACTTTTTTTTAAAGTGAAGGGAGTTTTCGCGGTGAACAACAGTTTGTGCAACACTATCCGATAAAGTAAGTGTCAATTCTTATTCATTTTCAAAGGAGAATGGCCCAAGAATGCCTCTGGTCCAAAAAATCTCACCAATCAATGGCTCGTTTTGTATTTGCATTTTTCACCATGAGGTTCTATACAGCTGCATTGAAAGCTATACATCATTGCTTCAGTAATCACAGTGATAGTAAATGTTTCTTCATTGAAATTCGAATAAGAGAATCCTCGAGGATTCGCTTATTATACCCTACAACACTATGTGTTTGGGGTATTATAAGTTTGATTGGACCAAAAATTATGTAACACCTCGAAATAGGAAAGTATATATGGATCTTCCTGTCTCGCCGAGCTGAGTCGATCTAGCTATGTATGTCCGTGCGACCATGTTAATTTGTAATCAATCTACAGGTCGCAATTATGGCCCGATCCTCACGAAATTGAAAATGGATGTGGGGTTGGTGCCAGAATAGAACCCTATTGTTTTTGGAGATGATCGCATAATATTTAGGGGTTGAAATGACAACTAAATATTTCCCTGATTTTGCAGCCGTTATAAAGGTCACAAATAGAAAGCAAAGTATACAGTACACGAAATCTCGCATTTAGGACAGCGGGTTGAATGTAGTGGTCCATTCGTTTGAAAAAATACCTGCATTTCCTTTCTACCGAAATGCTGAAAATAACTTACAGCCGAAATCCAAAATACACAAAAGGCGAACTTCTGGCTTTTTATGCTGATTTCGTTGACGAATATAGCCAAATATCGTAGAGAAGTTTAGTCTAAATTTGGCAATACAGTGGAACCTCTTGCATTTGGAGATGATGGCAAAATTGAAATCAATCGGCACGGAATTTGGCATGAGAAAAGAGTTAAGGGCAGGGAAGACGTCTAGCATTTTGGATGACTATTGGATTATATTTAGCTGTAATTAACAGCACGACGGAGTTCGTAAACTCCGTCCCTATTTAATAAGCTAAGGGTAATATCTGGACAGTGCCCTATGACATAATTTCAAAAACGAAATCGTCCAAAAATAGATTTGGACATAAGGGGACTTCTACTATATTGCAGTGTTGTAGGGTATCACATAGTAGGCCCCGCACGACTATAGCCTTTGCTTACTTGTTGAAATTTCAAAATAACAAACGCCAAATTTACTCTTTTACTCTACTTTGGATCTTATACTTTTATCAAATATATCCAATAAGGAAGGTAAAATATATTGACTGTATTATTGTTCTAAGGTTAATTCGATGTGACATAATTGTAATACAAATTGGAACTCCAAATGTGTTGAGTGTGAAAAAAACACTGAATAAATTTAAAGAAAAAAAACCTTAAAGGGGTCACAATTTTCCAAATTGATCCTTCTAAGAACTTGCATACCATACTTTAGTAAATAAATTAACGCGCGCAATTTCGGAAAAACTGAGTAACTAAATGTTCTGCCAAATTGAATTTCACATATCCATACCCAGTTTCCAAAGAACAAAAGAGAATTACTATTTCTTTCTTCGAAATAAGTTTTGTTTTTCTTGGGGTTTGGAACTTTATATAACTTTACGAGGAATACGACAAGAGGCAGTGATTTGCATTTATTAACCTACAACAAAATTAAACCTTGAACTTGAATTCCATTAGTTGTTGAAATACTACTTCATGTATATAAATATATGTGTATATGTATAGTGGTCGACAAATGGTTGCCAAAAATTTACTCGGTTGTTTAAGTACCACTTTGAATGGTCAAGTGCACTTAGTCCTTGTGTTTCTTTTTTCCGTTTTTTGGAGGATTAAGATTCTTTTTACGCTCCTTTTTGGCTAGACCCCATAAAAAGGAAGTTTGAGTGTTTGTGTGTGTCCAAAATTATTATTCTATGCGTCATGAATAAATGAAGCGAAAAAACCTACACATCCATATATGAAAATTCAATTACTGGCATATCAACTAGAAGTAGAAATAATGGTGAATTTCTTACATTAGCTTAATCATAGATATAATTTTTTGGGAAAACAAATCTCACAACAATGCTTTTAGCCTAAAAATGTATGCATAATTTTATTAAAACAAGTAACAATGTAAATATATAACTTACAATGTTATTGCTTTTTATAGACAACATATTTAACGCTGTAAGTTGGAATGAATATTGGTTCGATATAAAGATTTGCAAAATACAGTTTTGTAATGGGCAAGTGAAAATTATTTATTAATCCAATGTCTAGACGCTACAAAATTACAATTTATAATTGTATTTGAGTGGGGGCATAGGCTAAAATTTAAAATACGGCCACTTGTTCGTTGGGGCGTATGATTTTTAGTTGAAAAATAATTCGAATTCGCCACATCGGCCACTAATTAAAAAATTAGAATAAAAATATTGTCAGACCCAACAAAATACAGGGTGAGATATAAAAATTGTAACAAGGTCAAAAGCCATAATTTTAACATTTTTTTTTTTAATTTTATTGAATGAAAGCAAAAAATTTCGGAAGTAGCATCAAACCTTTGGCACGAATTACGGACCTCAAACGGCCAATGAAACCGTCACACGCTGCTCGAAAGTTGCTCCACGGTATTTTGGCCGGTACGGTATTTTTCCCGGCGAAGCGCTTGCTTGAGGTGATTGAAACTTTAGCATTTTTTAGTGCCAACCTTGCCTTCAGAATACTTCAGATACATTGTGCGCTGGAAATGAAGCAAGACACCTCAGTTTGTAACCGTTCTTGTGTGGCGCGTGCTGAGTGTGATGGTGCTGAGTCCTGTTAGAATGCCCAAGGTCTGCGGCCAAAATGTTAGCGTGCCCTAGGCTTTAATACACCCTTCAGAGTATTTTTGCCATAATATCCTGCATTTATTCTGATGCCACAGTCGATTAATACGAGCGGAGAGCGACCATCGGCTGTTATGACGGCACACACCATCACCATGGCCGGCGCTTGAGTAGTGATGGCCAACCGAAGTTGCAAATTTTTCAGCTGTCCTCTTTGGCAAGTAAACACGATCATTTTGTTTTTTTACGAACTGCTGGACAACGAATGTTTTTTCATCTGAGAAAACCAAATTCGGCAGTTCACCACTTTCGGCCAAGCGAAGCAACTCTTTTGCTCTTTTGAGTCTATTTTCTTTCTGTTGCGGTGTAAGTTCTTGCACTTTTTGGAATTTCAATGGTTTTACCCCGAGCTCATTTTTCAATATTTGCGAATGGAATATTGCGATATCTTCAGCTCACGAGCCATTTTTCGGCCACTGCGACGCGGGTTTCGATCAAGTCGCTTCTTTACTTTTCGAACAATTTCTGCTGATGTTGCTGTGTTGTTCCG